TGTTATTGCCTGGTTCTAGAGACTCTCTTAGCTGTCAGTTTTGGTTCTGAAGTCACTTTGAGATGTACTTGCTTATATTTACTATTGTTTGTGTTATGGATGCTAATGTGCTAACTTGTATTGTAGGTTTTTTGAGATGGTGAACACCATTACCGAAGAGAAGGGGAGAAGCACAGAGGAAGGAGACTGTGAAAGTGACTCGCTGGAGGTAATGACTTAGGTGTCCATCTACATTTAGAGTTCATTTTAAAACAATTTGAAGCCTTACTGAGGCAGGAGGCAGGGTGTATGAAGGGTAGGAGACTGTCTGTAAGCTTTCCTTTAATGTTAAAAACAACTTCTGGAATCCCTTTCATAAAAAAGGGCTAAAAAGTTAACATCGGAGAATTTTTATTCTGCAGCACCAAGTGTTAGCATTTAACTTATCTGATAGCAAGTAACTATGCTTTATCTATGACAGTGTCAATGCATGGGCCATGGCGTCCTTACACATTTTCTATTCTCCTCTGAGATATGTGCAATTCAGACAAAGAAGATTCAGTGAAGATTCTGGTTGATAGCACCCTTGTGGCAGGCATTAATATGCTACCCAGAGAACCCGAAACCATGAAAGATTAATGGAAGTAAGAGAGGAGGGGATAACAATGACTTCAAATGTTGTTCTTTTCAACTGGAATCCTTTTACTAATGTCTGATGGACACAGATCACTATGGATACCTACTTTTATATGGTTTTTATTTTTATTTTTGTAGAGACTTGGTCTTGTTATGTTGCCCAGACTGGTCTTGAATTCCTGGGCTCAAGCAATCCTCCTACCTCAGCCTCCCAAAGCACTAGAATTACAGGCATGAGCCACTGCACCTCACTGCTGGTTACCTACTTTTAGTTTGTGTCCATTTTCTCTGCCATGTCTGCTGTGTGAAGAGGAGCCTTCCTCCACTGCAAGGACCAATGCTAGAGTGTGTCAAGAATGCTGACTCCAGCATCTTCAGTGTCTGAAGGATGACACTTCTCCAGGCTTGACACATGGCCACCATTTTCTCCAAGCTCTTCCCAGTGTTTGACTTGGGAGAGAACTCTGAATCCAAGTATCTTAGTCCACTGGGCTGCTATAACAAAATACCGTAAACAATGTGGCTTATAAATAGCAGACATTTATTTTCTTATAGTTCTGGAGGCTGGGAAGTCCAAGATCAAGGTGCTGGTAGATTCAGTGTCTGGTGAGGGCCTGTTCCTCATAGAAGGTGCCCTCTTGCTGTGTCCTTACATGATAGAAGAAGCTGACTAGCTCTCTGTGGTCTCTCTTACCAGGC